TGTCTCTGGACTTCAGCAAGGCTTTTGGCAAAGTCCCACATAACCTTTTCATGAACAAATTGTAGAAATGTTAGCTGGACAAAACTACTATATGGTGGCTAGATAGCCACAAGCAAAGGGTAATTATTAACAGGTCAGAATGACAGGTTTCTAGTGGAGTCCCACAGAGGTCTGTCCTGGGCCCAGTGCTGTTCAACATGTTTATTAATTATTTGGATGCTGGCACAGAAAGTTTATTGTGCAGGATTGCAGATGACACAAAAGTGGGAAGGATTGCGAACACATTGGAGAATGTGAGCACAGTTCAGAAGGATCTGGACAGACTGGAAAGCTGGGCTAGAGCTAATGTTCAATGCGACAAATACAAGGTGCTACACCTTGGAAAAAATAATTAAAAACACAAATATAACACCTGACTGCATGGCAGCATTATGGAAAAGGATTTGGGAGTCTTGGTAGATCACAGATTCAATATGTGACTGCAATATGAGGCACAAGGGGAATGTGGTTTTGGGATGCATCCATAAAAACATTAGGTGCAAGACAGGAGGTGATAGTGCCTCTCTACTCAGCACTGGTTAGGCCTCATCTTGAGTATTGTGTAGAGTTCTGGGCTCCACATTTTTAAAAGGACATGGAAAAGTTAGAGAGGTTCCTGAGGAGGGCAACAGTGTTGATAAAGGACTTTGAAAGCAAGTCATACGCAGGGAAGCTGAAGGAGTTAGGTATGTTCAGCTTGTGGAAAAGGCTCTTAAGAAGGGACCTGATAGCAGTCTTCAAATACATCAAGAGCTGCCATAAAGAAAAGGGAAAGTACCTTTTCTCTCTTGCTGCAAAGAGGAGGGCATGGACCAATGGACTGATGTTGCAGCAAAGTAAGTTTAAATTGGATATCAGGAAAAACGTATTCACTGTTGGAATAGTGAGGCGGTGGAATAGACACCCAGGAAAGTTGTGTACTCAGTCTCCATCACTGGAGGTATTCAAGAAGTCATTGGTCATGGATGATCTAGATATAGCTTTGCTTTATGTTCTACTATGGCTATTTCCCAGGTTTCTGTTTGCCCCCTTCATACTACATGTGTCAAGGGGTTTTTAAGCCTCCTTCAGAGCCTTTGGGTAATGGCTACAACCAAGGCTGGGGATTTTGACTGGGTTATGCCAATGCTCTTGCTGGGACCAGTCAGAGGTACCTGGCTAGAGTCTCTTGCCTCTCCAGTCAGGATCAGACTGATCTCCATATTTGGGGTCAAGAAAGCATTTTACCCCAATGTCAGATTGGTACAGATTGTGGGGGGGTTTGCCTTCCTCTGTAGCAGGGGGCATGGCCTTCTACCTGGGATCTCTTGAGCATATATTGACAATCTTTATAGAAGCGGGACATTGGCTGCCATGGTTCCCCTGCTTTACTTGTAGCAGGTTAGGGTGTTACATCTGTGTTGTGTCAGGATTGACATTAGTCTTATGTAGAGTTTAGATAATGGACTGGATGGGATGGTTTGGATGGGGATGATCCTCCCTCAGGCATGGGGTTGGACTAGATGACCTCTGGAGGTCCTTTCCAGCCCTACTTCTCTATGATTCTGTGAACTAATCAGTGACTTAGTGGTTTCAAACTATAGATGTCACAGCTCGGATTCTGTGTCACAATAAAAGAAAAATAATTACCATGTCCAATGGCTGCCAGAAAAGACAGAGTTCAAGAGAAACATTAGCAGTTATCAGAATAAAGTAAAATAGCCCTCGTTATCTTCCCAGGGAAACTGATTTTACTTCAGCATTGTTATTCCTGATTTATAGCAGCACAACTAAAAGAATCATGAAAGTGAATTCTATTCTGCTTTAACACATAGAAAAGCATGATTCTCCTCCCACCCCAGAATGAATCAGAAGTAATTATCTTGAAATAAATGGAGCTAGACTAGTGTAAAAACAGTTGTGAGTGTTGGGAGTAATTATTTAAAAAATCTGTTTCTGATGTGTCTCTTTATAGTCTATAATTTGGGTCAGTAACCATAATGGCATTGATAATGACAACAGTGAGTGAAGCATTGCTTTGACTTCCGAAACCTGATTTAAGCCATTACCATTAGTCTGAAATAAGAGGTCTGTTTTTCTCGCTTGATATACACATAAATCAAATTAATGTTAATGCATATGATGCTTACTTTCCTTTTTTTCCATGGAAACTGATATCAAGTGTTTAATTGTAGTATGGACATGGTAGCACAAGCTGTGGTTAAGGCTGTGACCCAGAATTATTTGCCCCTTAGTATTTACAACACTGATAACATATTGTCTCTTATTGGACTGAAAATATACATTACCTGATTACAACAAAAAGGTGAACTTTTTCCTGTTGTACCAAATTGAAGAAATCTGTTCAGTCTTTTCTGGGTTACATGAAATGATAACAATTAGTAAAAGGAAGGAAATAATGCTATATTTTTTCCATATATATAATTGTAATATGGTTGAACTTTATTGCTAGAATTGAAGTGTAACTCAGACAATGGTAACTCAAATGTATATATATGACTAGCTGTAAACAGTTAATGGACGATAAAGTTATGCCACAATAAAGTGGTAAAAGATTTCTTCTCAACATTGGCATTTGATAGGGTTGTTAACATCATAAAGGCATACTCTGACTAATAAGCTCAAGGGTTTCTGGTCTCAGGTTACCTGTGGGACAATTCCTCTAAGCAAAAGGAAGGAGTTATTTACCAGTTACTAGTTCTTTGACAGTACCTTTACTTACATGTGTGGCATAACTGTGCTCCCTAAATGCATGAATCTTTTAGGGAGCAAGGGTAATTCATACCTCTCCTTGTAAGACTCTGTGAAAGGTTCTGAGGACTTAAAAAGAGGAGAGGACCCCCCGACCCCCCCCTCCCCAACATGCACACACACACACCTTTTAGTTCTGAGCACTGTGAATTCCTAAAAGAAAAAGTAAAAGCATCATTAAAACACACAGAGCAATCCTCCAGAAAATACTGTCAGACTATCAGAAGCAGGAAAAAAAATATGTGGCCTTGAAGAATCGTGAGCCCATACCTTTGCAATTTCTCCACCATTATTTCTATATTATTTCTATCATTTCAGAGTATTCTACATGTTCTAAACACTTGTTTTAAAAAACAGATTCTACCTTTGTTTCAGTCCAGTGAAAACAAAGGAAATGATTGCAATGTTGACCTCTTTAACCCATGTGTCAAATCAAGAAAACAAATAACAATAACAAGGATACAAACATCCATCCCATTCACCTCCATGGGATGTGAACATCAAAACTGTACTAAGGTGTTTTGAGTGATGGCATGGTATTGTGGACAAAGCATATAGCCAATTTGTTCTCTCTTTCTCTGTGCTCCTATTTTTCTTTGCAAGAAATCAAGACAATTACATGAGAAATTTCACACTTATATAACGGTGAAGTTACACAACTACAAAAATAAGAAATGAAAAAACTGGGGCTCCTGCTGTTTCATTAAATTAGCTTCTTAAATACCCAGTAATTCTTAATGAGAAGATTTAATAATATATTCATCAAGGTATTGAATGACATACATTTAAGAGGAAAAAAAGCACTGGAAAATAATAAATATTTGAAATTTGGAAGAGTTGGATTGGTTGAAACATCTATTTCTCAATAATTTATGAATTTCCTAAGGATAGAGGTGAATGAATTAAGCAATACATGCACCAATTTAAAATTCCTAACTACTTCCTTTCTTGCAAAGAATGTACATCTAGCCTTAGTAATAGCCTATAGCTCGGTATTATGATCCAGATTCAAGCTTTGAATTAAAACACTAAAAAACAGTTTTGAAATACCACATTATTGAAAAGCATCAACTTTAGATGTTTATGGATCAGTGTCCTATTCTTGCATTCTCTACATCTGGAATAAAATTAGGGATGCCAGAGATGAACCAAGGAATCAGTGTTTGGATCTGGATTAAATCTATAATTATGTTGGGTGTGTCTGCACATTCATTAATGTAATTACCGCTAATTCTACTGCACATTAGCTCATGTTTTGTCTGCTATGCTAATATGCAGTAGAATTAGACTACTACACCTTTAGTGTCTCATGTAGATGTGCCTGTTCAGACTGAAGTCTGTGCCAGGTCTAGGCATCAGTTTACAGTGGTCCTCTAGTTTTAGTGAGATTTCTTCCCCAAATATTGGATGTTACATGATAGTGATGTTTAGTGAGATTTTTTTAAAGCTGAATAGTGTAAATTAACAAAATATATTGTTTTTGTAGGATTTCCTTCATTGTGGGACATATTAGGAAGTAGGTCTCTTCCAGATTCAGATCAAACTCAGACCCAAAACCAGGAGGGAACAGGGGATCTGGGGAATTTGAAACCTAGTAACCAGAAATCTGAGGGATCAGATTTACAGTGCAAATGAGATTGTCTTTGCACATAAATCAGTGTGAATTATGTTGATGATTCCTACTCCAGTACATGAATGTAGGGAAGGGATTTTTCTAAGCCATGGTTCACTCTTTGTCTAGTGGAATACAGGTTACCAACCGTATGCTGTGGATCTGCAAAGTATGATTTAATTCCCAAGTTTCTAAACTTTGAGAATTTTACTTTATAGTCTGTTAGATGGAAGGACATGAAGTAACCAAGGGTCACAAATTAGGAGAATATACACCTATTTTGGAATATGTATCATTTTTAAAGTTGAGAAATATATTAATTTGTCATGGTACATGCCCAAATCTAATAAGCTAGATATTTGTGAATAGAAGAACTATACATTAGAGGACCTGAGACTGATAAAAGTACAGTTGGTTTCAAGCTTTCCCTGCAGAACAGTGCTTTGGCCTTGGTTCTCATTCTTATCACCAATGAAATTAGAGCATCCAGCGAGAGAGATCTAAATGGTGGTGTAGTCTCATTAAAGAAAACCTAATTCATCCACAGTGTAACTAGACATAATCCTCAAAATCTCATCTTGTTTTTGTTTCTCCCCAGCTTGATCACTATCCTCCAGCAAGTTACAACTTGCCGACAGCATCTGACGTTCAGTTCAACTCCCTGAAGGCACTCTTCCTTGGAAAAGTTATAGGTAGCATTTCACTTTATAATTTTTTTTTTATTAGACATTTTCAGAAAATATAAAAAACGTGGGATTGTGATGTTAGTGCTGTCTGTAGTTAAAATGCTTATTGGATATCTTGTTTTTGATTGGGAGATGGTGTTGTTGGAAGCTGTATGTTTGCATCATACTTCAGGTATGCAGTGCAAAGTTGTTATTGCAAAGGGCAAGAAACATTTAACCAGGTAGCACACTGGACTATGACTAATGCACGTGGTATAGAAATCAAATAAGAAATACTTAGACAATTTCATTTGGGATATTATATCCAGATTTTCAGGAGAATCGGTGAGACCACTACTGCTGTTTTCCAGCCACATGAGTCGGAAACTCCAGTTTTTTAAGGCATCTATGTCCCACACCCAGAGTGTCAACATCCTTTCTACAGGATTTCCCCTCCCTCCAGAGCTTCTCTTTGGTCCCACTTTTTTTCAGAGCTGCAACACTTTTCCTTGGGTCTTCCAGCAGAACCCAGAAACCAAATGCAACTTAGGCTACATCAGCTGCCCTGCACTCACTTTGAGGGTAGTCTATATTCCCCCCTTGTCCATTCTTTCCTAAAACCCTGACCTTCTGGACTGCCTCCCTCAAGTGTTGCTCATGTTTCAAAGGCCAAACATTACTGGAGACAACTTCACTCTTGTCACTTTCTCATGGTACCCTTTCCCAGGGAGAGTAAGCACCTATCATCATGCATACTCATGTCCTCTTTCACAGTTCAGAAGGAAAACGAAGACCTCTTCCCCATGGAGGCAACTCTATCCTCCTCTCTTCTGGATATGAACTCAGTCCTTTATAGCAACCACCAAGCCTTCTCCTAGCCTGGATCTGATAGTGAATAGAGCCTACACAATCCTTCAGATGCAATCACGTGGGATAATTGAGCTTTCCAGTTCCTATTACCCTGTTCTTTTCCTATGTAAATTCTGCCAGAACTCACAAAGTACCTAATGTGAATATACGCTCAATGTCTTTGAGTCAGGTGATTATATTTTATAAGGATGTACTTGCATACAATTGTTTGAAGCAGTGAATAGGCAAATTCAGACCATGGTGAACTCTGTGCAAAACTGTAACATGGTGATAACCTGAGTGAAAGGATATAGCCAAAAAAGGGAACCTGTATGCAAGTTTCTTGTAGGTACCCATGGGTGGATCCAGGATGTTGTAAAGGGGATACAGGAGCAGTGACTTGTACTGCAGGGGTGGCTACAGCCCCACTCCTAGCTGCTACCCCCACAACTCTAGAGAGGCAGACTCCATTGCAGGAGCAACAGCCATGGATTTTTTAAGTCCCCAAATCATGTAAGAATTCCACTGTGCCCACACAGTCATTGCCCCCTCCCTTTCTCTCTGTGCTTAGTGCTACATCCCCTCCCTTCCCATTCCTGCACTCCCCTGCTCGCCACTGCTACTGTTCCTAGATGAGCCAGGGACAGGGAGAGCTCCAGAGCTACACCTGCCTCATTCCATCTGGGCTGCATGAGGAGCTGGTCTCAAACACAGGCAGCAGCAGCGGTGAGTGGGGTCCCCAGCATTAAGCCTGCCCATGGCTTCACCACCCCCAGCTCAGCCGGGGACACTGGGGACAGCAGCAGGCAGAAGAAGGAGGGAAGGGGATGTGCCGCTGAGCAAGGAGGGGAAGGGAGGAGAATTCTTACCAGTTTCAGGGACTTAAAAAAAGTCACCCAGCTGGTAGTCCCCTGGCATGGGCATCTCCCCCTCCAGCAGTCTGTCCAGGCTCAGCAGGACTGGCATGTTGTCCTGGTCCCACTGAGGCAGCTACAGCTCTGTGCCCCACATCCTGACTCACTCCCATGGGGTTGGCGGGCCACTGGGCACTAGCTGCAGGCAGCCTGCCTCCCCTTCTCCATTCCCAGGACAGAACAGGCCAGGCTCCTGGCAGCACCTGATACCATGGCTCCAGACCCTGCTTCCCCTCTGCCTCCTTCTCCTGCAGGCCAGCTATTCTTCTGTGCTGCTGCCCAGCCAACAGCACCTGGGATCAGGAAGCATAGGATTCCCAGACAACTGGGCTGAGGAATTGCCAGCATCCCCACCCCCTCCATCAGTTGCCACCTGTATTTGCATGCTTACATACAGTGAACTAGGCTACTGAGCAGTTAAGCATCGTGTGTAGATGTGCCCAGTGTGTTGCAAAATAATATCCAATCTCATCTTGCTGACGATATGAAACTCAAGTGACTACATTGATCTCTGTGCATTTCCATCTTATAGTGCTAAATTAAGATGGAAAAACCAGGCTAAAATTTAGATGTCTTAGTGTCCATTCTCACCACTGGCTAAAAGCAAAACCTATTTAGTCATCAATTTGAAGAAGAACACAGTAGATGAAGCATACTGAAAGAATAGCTGTAACTTTGGAGTAGCTTAGATGGGGTGGCCGGAGCTCATCTCTTTTCTTCCTCAAGGTGCGCTGCAAAGGTTACTGCTAACAAATTATACCAAGATAGCAAATTATTTTTGTGGGGAGATAATCATAATGAGAAGGGGTGGGGAGCTTTCCTCTCCCTTCTATCTTGATTACCCCATGTGAAGGTTCTGTTCCCACAATGGATCTGTTGTTTCTAGGATGACAGTTTCCTCCAAATACTGAGTTATCAGCTGCCAAAGCTACTATAGTGGTGCTGCCTGCATGATGCCATCTTCTCAAGCTTGATTGAGAAAAGCCTTATGTGGCCCTGGTAGTAGTTCTGCTTATTCTGCATAGGAAAATGTGAGGGAATAATGTGGAAGAAGGCATGAGGGAGAGAAAATATAGGGAAGGGTATAGGACAACAGTTATATTAGAGAGTGGAGGAGAGAAAAGGAAAGTTGCCAAAACTCTGCATGAAGAGATGCATCATAGTCAATTGGGGAAAGGAAAGAAAGAAGAAAGTGTGGTGAAGTCAAGAGGAGAGGGAGAATTAAATACATTAGGTTCTTCTGAAATGTTTTAAATGAAAAGTCAATTGTCAGTATCCCTGAAACAGAACACATAGTGCGCCCTTAAATTACGTAAGTGTTGGGAATGGGTTTACACAGTACTGCAGTATATTTTACTGGCTTGGTGTATGTGGCTTGGTCCTTGGGCTGGCAAATGATGGATAATATTTTTAAACCCTATCTATACCAGAAGGTAAAGGTACAGCCCAACCAGTTCTGTAATATAGAGGGCACAGCATCTGCATTCCTTTATTTGCAAAGTTTTAAGACTAATTTTCTAAAGTTCCCATTAGAGATCCTTGAGAAGAAACCAAATCAGGAACTGGACAGCTCAGGGGATTCATATCGGTTTTCTGAAGCTTTTCATATCTAGGTCACATGTTTGAATGAACTCACATTCAGGGTGATTGAAAGTTGTTAGAACCATCTGACGGGTGCTTGATCTTTATGAAATGAGTTATTGACTTAGTTCAGTTGCTAGATAAGATGCATCACAAAAATCACCGTTCTATTTGACTCCCTCACAAATAGTCACAAAAATGTTGAAGCCTAGTTGGACACAGGTATGAGATTATCCTCTATTACAAGTGGCCTCTCAACATCTGATTTTTGGGACATCAACAGGGCAATCTGGGGAAGCCTGCACTCCTTTTCATCTGGGATCTTCTTGCTATGTACATACAGAGAAGCGATATGTCTACAGAGATAATATTATGTTTATTTTTGTTTTTCAAAATAACTAGACATTTTCCCCCTGATTTTAGCAGAGTATATTTTGCTTTAGCAGATTAATTTGCCTAAGTGTTTCATGCATCAAAGGAATTATTAATACTTGTAGTAGCAATGGTCTAAATTCTTTCTCATTCCTTTCAAATCTGAGCGGCTAAACCATGGAATAATATTGGATTCCAAAATAAGAATTCATTTCGCACTAAAATATACAGACAAGCAAAAGTAATTCTGGTAACAACCATCATAGAATATATGTGGTGCAGCTACAGATTTTCTTTTTGATTAGGTGCATGCAGAGAATGATGGAGTCATCACACACAGTGATTAAATCAGGAAAGTCAGAGAAAATGTAAAGAACAGTAATAAGCAAAGTGCTTAGAACTCCTTGCAGCATAAGCTGGAGTTTATTAAATCTGTAGATTTTGATAATGAAAATGAAAACTAGATTCCAAATTTCTGGAGATGTCCTGTATATTCCTTCATTATGAACTGTGCTATATGGTTCTGCAACCTTTGATTGCTAACACTGCTTTGGCTTGAAGTTCATTAAAATTATTTTTTAGCTGCAAGAACTGTGATTCTTTTTTTCTTCCTCCTACGTATATAATTTCTTCAATGTGGGATATTTATCAAATAAAAAGAACATCGATACCAAAGAAATAAAAATAATTTCACTGTACATGCCAAAAAATCTATCTGGAGAGACAGTAACTTACTGGTATAATTGTTGCAAATTGTTGCACCGCTGACCGTTGCTATTGATCAGACTGAATATATAACTCTCCAGGGGAATGCTGAGTGAGGGGAGTAGAAGTCAAGGTTAATCTTGTTATGTGTGTTCAGCAGTTTGAAGGGCAAACAAGTTGCAGAATATAGTATTTTTAAAGCTTCTAATTGCCATGTCATTCTGGCAAGAATTGTTTCCAGAGATTGAGATTCATAGTTGAGTATATATACTCACTGTAATATGTACATTTTGTACCGCCCTGAATTAGCTTTGCATACAGTAGCACTGCAACTGCTATATTTGAGTAGTTGAGTGTTTGACTTCAGTTTTGAATCAGTCGCTGCTGATTCCTGTTCTGTTCGATTCTTTTGCATCATAAAAAGTGACAGTCAGCTTGTGCTTTTAGGGAATGTTCTGGAGCTATTCAATACAGATATCCAGCCTCTCTCTCTATTTTCTCTCTCTCTATTTTCTCCCTTTCATTTTCATAAGGTTTATTTGCATAGAACAAAAAAACATATCCTGCTACAATGTTATCTAATGCTAGTCAGAAATGCTACAATGT